TTAAAGTCAAAGGCCTAGAAAACGAACCATGGGGCAAACCCAGAGAACTGGAATTACTCCTGGAGTTACATTTTCCCTGACCTGTGTTACTGCTTTCTCTTCTGCTAGAACAGACTGATAATTCCAAACCCGTATGCATAGTACTCTTTGTCATAGATAACATGGTCATTTCCATGTATTTGTTTTCATTGCATACACACACATCTCGCACATTATTGTGTTATAGAAAATGCTTTTAAATTAGCATATATTGTAGTAACTTTAGCCCTTCTCTCTGGGAATTATTTTGAATATACATACCATCATGTGAAAATTTGATTTGCCTTTAATAAGGGATACATCCAAATGACTGGTTTACAGGAACAAAATCTAGAATGCATGCAATGGGCAGAGTGCTTCTGGTCTCACTGGTACTCTTCCTGTTCATATTTGCCAGCAGAGACCACTGCAAACTGCACAACTTGGAGTGGCTTTTTTGGTGAGCAGGGAGCTTGATGTAACCTGTGGAAGGCAACCTAGCCCCTTCCAGATATTTGGACTACAGCTCACATGATCCCTGATAGTTGGTTATGCTGACTGGGGCTGATGGGAACTGTAATAAAAAAATAGGAGGGCATCCGATTTTCTACTTCTGATGTGGAGGGAGAACGAGTTACTTCCTGAATCAACTACTGTGAAGTATTGTGCAAACCTGGTAGTTGTAGTGACTCATACGTATTAAATTATTTTTAGAAGCTTAATTTGTGCTATCCAGAATGTTTTTAAGCTGATAAAATGCCTTTATTATAGCTTTCAGAGCTCATGAACTCTGCATCCCTTAAAAGATGACTAAGCAAGGGGTCTGTTGGCACTTCCAGGAATTTACAGACATGAGTCATCTATCTATTGTCTGCAGACACAGCACCAAGTACCTATGAATCAACTCTTGTTTGGAAATAGTATTTGCAAGATTGGAGGCAAATGCTGACACAGGGTTTTATCTAGCAAACATGTAACACATATGCATGATTTTGCTTAATTCAGATATGATATTCTCACCTAGGGCCATTTCATGCATCCATTCACTGTGTAGTCACTACCTGAAATATTTACACATGCTGATGTTGGAACTTTTATCATTAGCAGAACTGTTCTTTATTCTGTTATCACCAATGAATTTGACTGGGAAGGCAGAGAGAAATCCAATATTTCTATATATAGTTCAGTCTGCTGCCAAATCAGGTTACCTCTACATTGTGAAACTCTTCTTCATCCACTCAATTAAAACTCAGGTTCTTGCTCTGATCACTTTCTGCCTACTTCAACCTCTTCATTTTCCTCCATTGGCTCATCTCAGCCCTTTACTTATAATCATTGTTGCCAAAATTATTCCCTATTTTCAGATCAAACAGTATCTCCTCTTGTTTCTCTATATAAGCTTCCTAGGCCCTTTTACATCTATTACCTATAAGCCTTGTCTTATGCTATCTTTCTGTCAAATTCATCCCCTTGACTTTCTTTTAGTTGTGCTCACCTGTATTGTCAAAGTGACCTCCTTTCCTTTGTACCTCCTAGGAAATCTCATAATGGCACCTCCTGTTTGTTGTTCAAATCCATCCCCTTTGACTGAGAGACCTACACCTCACCCCTAACTAAGCCAAAACCTATACTCATTCAGCAGCATCTTTTGCCCTTTCTTCTTCTTTCCTTCTCCTGCTGCTGTTGGGTTTCCACCATAGAAATTTAGATTAGCCTTCACTCTGAGAACCCTATTTTTTTTGCTTGCATTACATATTAAAGCATCATATATAATAATGGTCTTATGGAAGTCAGTGTGGTGTATTGGTTGGAACTTTAAAGCCAGACTGAAGAGTTTGAAGTTCAAATCCCTATGAAGTCCTAAGTAACCATCACATCTTGCTACATCACAGCAAGGACATGAGGTTGGGAAGCATGTGTGTCATCCTGGTGGTGCCAGTGATGAAGATGATGCTAGAAGAACCTCCTATATTTCATGACCACAAAAGTATGTTTTCATAAATGTTGGAGAGAAAATAATGGAAAGAAACTGGGTCTTAGCTGAGACTGGGAAAAGTTTGTTAGGAGCTGTGTGTTAATAGAAGAGGTGCTGGAAATGAACAGGTGCTAAAGTTAAAGAAGCCAAAAAGGTATAAGTAAGGGACAACTTAGTTATGTGCATTGATTTAATAAATGACCATAATAGAATTTTTACAATGTCCCTGTGTTTTGTTAGTTGAATAGAACAATCTTTTTTCTTTTCTTTTCCTTTGTCTTTCAAACAGTCCTTCAGCTGGGGGAAAAATTACTGCAATTGCTGAAAGGCTAATCACTTCAAATGAAGGCTTCTCTGAATTGACAGTCTTGTCTCTATTGTGCTTTTAAACATGACTTCAATACTGCATACCTTGCTCTTAAAACAAAGTATTCAACTTACTTAATAGGAGAAAAAATGCTATTACTGCCTATTTCAGCAAGTCAGAAATTTTACAAAATCAAGATAATGGAGACTTGGGATTCTTGAGTTTAAAAAAAAACTAAATGAAATGAAACAAATACGGTAGATATTGTTGTTAACGTTCTTCACTGAAGTTTTATTATCCTTTCTCATTCCTTTTATGAGTTGCGCAAAACTATTTGGCTTTCCTTTTAAGAAACTGATACTTGAGAAATTGTAATTTCAAAAACAACAGAACACATAAAGGAAATTAACTTTGACTACAAAGCGCAAACAACAAAGCAAGCTCTAACCTCAAAATTGTAGTTCAGTCTTGGTGGTTTACATCGACCCCATAGAGCATAACGAATCTTTTGATTCTTAGACTTTTCTGAGGCAAATAGTTTGCATACTGATAAATGACTTCACAGCATGTGAGCCACTTGATTTAAAAGGCCAACAAATATTTTTTTTTCTTATCTAATTTCTAAATGTTCTTTCTGCTAACGGAGTTGATTATATTAATGCTAGCTGCTTTACTATCTGATATTTCAGGCTGTATCCAATGCCACATGAATACAAGATGCCCACACAAAGGGAATTCCCAGCACAAGATGTATTCCCTTTTTTTTGGGTGGGGGAGGATTTCCCAATGCTACAAGTTGTCATGTTGAATGAGTCTCCATCCACCTATATAACAATAAAAGAACAGTCTGCTACCTGTTAAATGTGCATACAGATAAAATTGGTAATGCATGTTTGCTTTAACTGAGAAGCAACTGTTAGAGAGAAGCATTTAAAATGGAGAAACAGCAGAGGGGGTACATCCAGCTGCCATTTCTCTATTTCAAATAATTCTCTCTCCCAGCAGCTTCCTACACAATGCTTCAAGGCCCCACAGAGAAAAGCTTTTTGACATGCAATTTGAAGTGGCCTTAATTAGTCCTATGAATTGTTTTCTAGATGCAAAATACTATGGAGCACAGTAAAATGAAGCTTCAACTGTGCAAAGTTTGTTTTGTTATTTAATACAGACTAATTTTCTAGGGAAGAATCTGTTCTGTGCAACAAAAAGCCATTTTGCCTTCAGCTTTTTTGTATTTACATATTTGGGGCATTTCTCTTCATGTCCAGCTCTACACAATTATCTTACATGAAGATTTGGTGAAATTCAATTGCTATATGTAAAACTCTTTCAAAGCATTTGTGGATTGCTTGAGTTTCCAATTGTTAGTAAAGATGATAGAAAAGTGTGCACATAACAAGCATAGCAACTAAACTTTTCTAAAGTTCAAGTCCTTTACCAAAATGCCTTGTTGAACTTATCATTCTTTAGTCTGTTGATTTATTTTGTTATATATGGGGGTAGTTAGAGGAGTTTCTATTTTAGATCAACAATAATACAGATGTACTAAGAAAGAGGATTCTGGTATAAGTCTTTGCCAATTTACTTCTTAGCATCAAAATTCTTGGGTATTCAAACTAGATTATTACTGTGGTTTGGTTTCTAAGCCTCTTTTTTACCTTCCTTTTTTACCAAAAAAGTGACTGTGAAGAACCACCACTTACAAGTCTTATAAAACAGTGTAATAGTGAAAGAACAGTATAATTGATTATCATGTTAAAGTTTTCGAACTATGGATGTTGCATTGATGAGTTTAGAGATTATAAATGCTCTGCATAAGTCTGGAATTAGATATTATGTTCATTGAATTAACTGTAGTTGTGTAAAACAATGAGTTTCAGGCTACACCAAGACACTTTTGGGAAAATACATTGAAATCAAAATAAAGTAGATTGCATGTTTCCATTGTTCCTGAAAGGGTCTGAAATGGAGCTGCCTGTTTACGGAATAGTAACCATATAACTTAGTTTCTTCCTATGAACTCAAGCAATGTACATGTGGACAAAATTATGCACTGGCATCCCGAGTTAATAATGTGTGATAGCAAAGCAACATGGCTTTAATTGTTTCACCAATAACTCTTACCAAATACAACAGAAATTATGCAAGCAAAAGTGTAAGATAGTTTAGAATTTTAAAATGTGAGAATAGGTCAGAACTGTGCTTGGCATTGGGAGAAAGACATAGAACATAGGTGGATTGGAATACTTAGCTTCACAGAGGATGCCACTGGAGGTGCATTGGTCAGGCTATTCAGTCCACACTGGCAGGATGGTCTGCCCACATATCTCAAAGCTTGCCATTTTAGCAAAATCATATAAGTTCCCAAATGCAAATACATGCAGTATCTGTAAAATAGCTTGCTCTGTATGTATGCATGGATGTATCAGTAATGGATTATCCATGGGGAAAATACTTACAACTTGCTTTGTATATTTCATTTTTTGTGGCAGAAACATAAGCAATAATTTAAAGCAAATCTTTTCAGTGCAGCTATATACTGCTCTGTGAACTAGCAATAAAATGTTCCTTAAACATCTATTGAATTAGAAGGTGTTCCTCGATCTATTAGTTCTCATGCAGAGTTCTTGTACAAGAAAATGAAAACCAAAGGGGGGAAAACCCAATTGTCTAATGTCTCCTCTTTCTGTTTCCTTGTAGTTGACCTGCCACTGTACTTTCCTCGGGACCAGCCCACTTTAACATTTCAATCTGTCTATCACTTCACTAACAGTGGAGAACTCTATTCTCAGGCACAAAAAAACTATCCTTACAGTCCACGATGGGATGGCAATGAGATGGCCAAAAGAGCAAAGTAAGTCATATTTCTTCTGTGACATAAATGTACAATATATGTCATATTAAGTCACCTGCTGCTTTGACCTTGCTAAATGCCTGCCAAATTTGACTGGGAGAAGAGTGGAGAGAATATCAAACTGTTTTTTCACAGGTATGTACTCATAGCTCTTTTCAATTCCTGTCCTTTCAAGCACAGGCTTTTTCTTCAAGACCAGACTTCTTCCTTCATCCCAGATCAGAACATGTTTCCTTCCTGCTCCTTGCCCTGACAAACTTCGCCACTGATGTATTCCATATCTGCTGAAGTTCTGAGAGCCTCTAAAGGCAGCTCCACATTGTGCACATTACAGTAGTCCAGTCTGGATATAACCAAAGTATGTGTAACTGAGACATAGTCCACCTTCTCTAGGTAGGCCCACAGCTGCTAAATCAGCCCAAGCTGATAAGGGCATGTGCAAACACATTAAAAACTGGTTGCAAACCTCCAAAGGCAACAGCTTTTCCACCCCATGGTAGTTCTGCCTTGTCCAAATTAAAAGACAACTTGTTTGCCTTCATCCATCCCAAAATTGCTTCCAGACATCTGTTACAGATTTCTACTACCTTCCTGGCATTAGATGAAAAAGAGATGGAAAACTGTATGTCATCAGCTTTCTGATGACACTTTAGCCCAAAGTCCAGACGTCTTTCACCTGCAGTTTTGTTTAAATGTAAAAACGCACAGGGGGCAAGTTTAGATCTTTCTGAGCATCCAAATGGCCAAGAAGTAGGGAAAAGTCTCCACAGCACCACTTTCTGGCCACTGTAGCACCCTGGTTTCAGTCCCATCTTAGAGAGTTGAGGCAACAGATACAAACATTTTCAACTTCCCTCCCTCACTCACACATCTTAGTGTGCAGGGATGAGGAGACTTAAAAATAAGGAGGTTTAGAAGTAAGGGCCCAAGCCAGCATACTCTTATTTTTTTTTAAGCCTGGAGTCTAAAATGTTAAAAAGTAGCAGTTAACCAAAGAAAAGGTAGTGCTTCTTATTTTAGTACTAGGGCTTAGTTTGGAAGGAAATGCGCAAACCTGTTAAGGTAGGTGTTAAGTTTATTTATAGCAGGGGAAGGGGAAACTGGAATAAAAAGCAAACAATAACCAGAGTAACTTTTGGCAAAAATAATAAAAGATAGCTAAACCTGCCCTATACATTACCTAAATATGGGTCATCCAGTAGGATTGGGCCCAATCTGGGCTTCAGAGAATCACAAGCCTGAAAGCCAGTTGAAGCATGTAGACAGCTATAATTGGGTTGCATCACATCCCTTCTTCTTGTGCTCAAACCCCTAACCAATCAAAGAACTATTTTAACCAATCACTGACTGGCTGGAGCAGTGTTCCCAAACCCCATTGGGAAGGTAAGAATTCCCACAGGAACACAGCTAAGATAATTCAGTCCATTTAACTGAATCTTACTCTGCCTTGGAAATCCAGAGCCCCATTAGGGTTGGAGCCCTAAATCTTTCATGTGGACCCTGAATCTCTGGAAGGCCATCTGCCTCACAACCTTGCTGTCCAGAGGCACCTGCTGAAATAAAGGTAAAAGATCCCTGATTATCTATGTTGCATCCAGTCCCACTGAATTAGCTAGCTTTTTGCCTACATGTGCTGCTCTCCTGCTACCCTGAATCTTTTTGCCTGAGATTTTCTTCTGAAATGCCCTCCTTTTCTCCATCTATACATCTCTTTTTACAAATAGGAGACAGGACCTTGAAAGACATTCACAGAGTGACATGTCAGAGCATATGTAAGTTTTAGTATGGGCAAATGTGTATTATTCTGATCCAGTGGGGCAAAGCCTGGGGTCTTTTTGGGATCATGCACCACCCCTACATCACAGGATGTCCTTGCAGCCTACCCAAATGGAGTTTTACCCACAGTTCAAGCAAGAAAAGGAGACGGAGTTATCAGTCCCTTGCTCCCTCGCTTGATAGTTTAGACCATGGGTCCTCAAACTATGGCCCACGGGCCGGGTCCGACCCACCATGCCCATTTATCTGGCCTGCCATAGAGGTTTTGGATTTGCCACACGCACATGTGTGCGCGTGTGACGAGGTGCCAGCTTGCTTGCAAGGAGATCATTTTCTCCGAGCGAGTCCAAAACAATCTCCTTGTGAGCAAGCTGCCACATGACGAGGCGCCGGGTTGCTCGCAAGGAGATGGTTTTGGACTCACTCGGAGAAAACGATCTCTGCGCACACACGCACGCCCCTGCCTCACCATGCACGCGCACCCCCTCGCCCGGCCCACACCCCCAGCCCGCACCGCCTTGGCAGCCCGCGCCCATTGCCGGCAGCTTTCGACTGGTCTCCTGTTGAAAAAGTTTGAGGACCCCTGGTTTAGACATAGGCATTTTCTAAGAACACACAAGGAGTAGATGGTGGGCACGCTACATGTCAACACATGGTTCTCACAGTGGCCTCAGCATGAGCTTTGGGGTTCACAAGCCCACCCCTGAGCCCGCCCCTACCAGTGTACATAGGCAAGGATTGGGTCCTTTCAACCCTTTCTTGTATCCAGACTTGCATGGGGCTGCACAACTATCCTTATAAATTTGATAACAAGATAACTGAGGCATTTTCATTTCCTAATGTTATTGCTATATAAGTCTTTGCTTCGGTTCAAATCTGGAGCCCAAGTACTTTTGGGCCATTTCTAGACACACAATTTAAAAAAATATACTGGGCAGCTCATGGCACAAGGTTTCAATGTGGCACTTTTAAGATGGAGCTGGTGCTCACCCAAGCAGGAATTGGGAAAGTTGGCTGTCAAGCTGGCTTTCCTGATCCCCCCACAAGAAGTATTAAAGTGATGAAATAGCTCAGAATGGGTCACGGGGAAGGGAAGGGATTCATTTCTCCTGCCGTGTCCCCAGGAGTACTGCCTGGAAGACTGAGGGTGAAGGAGGTGGGAGCAAAGCCCCCGCAGTGCACAGCACCCAACCCACTGTGGCAGAGTGCCATGACGGCTTGTCATGATGTGAAAAGCCTCAGGCTCAGCTGTTAAGAAAAAACCCTCTTTTTATGGGATATAATACATTTCTGGGTAACATGATAGTAGCTATGGTCCCTAGACTGAACCTAGGTATCTGAGGCAGTTTCCCCCTGTATGCCAGTTGCTGGAGTGGCCAAGCATCAGAGGTGGGCTGTTGACTTCATGTCACATGTGGAGCAATGCTGCAAATGGATGGACCCTCCAGTAGGGCTATTCTTACGTCCATATGCTAGGATAGAAGACAGGCAAGTGCCTAGGCACACTTACTAGGGCTCATTAACCTCAGTAGAAAATCCTTTTGAGCAGACAGGCATAGAATCGTGCTATTGAGGAAACAGCAGGCCATGAAAGAACACCAGTGCTGGTATACAAGCGCCGAGTCTACCTTGTATTTTGTCTCCAGCTGGATATTTGTTCATATTGGGATGGTACAGAAATACACTAAATAAATAATATCAAATTCTCTTTATGCATTAAAGTAATTTAGGGAATTCTTATATGAAACTTAGCATAGATTGCTGGTCTAATGTTTAATAAAAATAGTAATCTTCCTCAACCTTTCTTTTTGCAGAGAGTGCTTTACTAGCACAGATTTAGTAATTATAATAGCTTGCTTCTTCTTTCTTATTTTTATATGCTAATGCTTCATCAGCTTTGTTACCTCACTTGAAATATCATCACTGAATGAAATTTATGTTTTTGTTTTATTTTATGGATGTTCAAAATTCCACCTTCCTACTTTGTGTTTACAATAGTGTCTAAATTCTCTCTGCTTGTGTTCTTCCAGCTGAACAAATCATTTTCTATGTTGCCATTTTTGTCATTTTTTATTTATACAGTAGCTCAATACTTTCACTTTACAAAGGCCATAACTGCCTCCCATACTTAGTAGTAATAAAGAGTTTGCCTTATTATCCTGGAAAAACGCTGCTTCCTCCCTATTGTGCTGTGTTAGACTCTAGTTTGAAGAAATATATCCAGTCCCCAAATAAATACATTAATTCCTTTTTCTGTGCATTGCCAACCTGTCATGACAGGCACGTGATCTGAAACTGTGCCTTTATTTTGTTGCTGACAATTTTAGTTACCATCTTCTTTGAGGCCAAAATGTAATCTGTTCAAAAGAACAAATGATGTGGCACAGAGGAAAATGTAAATAACAACAGCAAACAAAGCAGTGTGTGGTTTTGTTGCTGTGTGTTTCATTGTAGTTCACATGCCTATTCTACATGTTATGATGATCAGGGAAAGCCGTGGACAGAAAATAGAGAGCTTGCAATGGATTTGCTCAGAGATACACCCTGGCTTTAATGTCCTGTAAGAAAATAATTGTATTGCATTTTATTCTTTTCACTGTTTGTAGTCCAACCAGCAAAACTATAAATAAACCATAAATCTGAACATCAGAAAAGTGAGAGTAGGAAACCCTGTGTTCTTTCCCCCAGGTTAGTTCTATTCTTGTAATTCAAAGACTGCTTTGGGAAAAAGGGGAATGTACTGAAGCACACAGTTCATGGTAATCTGTGGTGGGCATAGAATGTGGCTAATTATGGGAAACTGGTGCTCTTACTCATGGTACAGATATAAAGCAGGCCTTGGATTTTTGTTTCCATGGGAAAAAACATCTCTTCTTAAGTAGGCATTCAAGTCTCTGTAAACAGAACATACAGTCTCTTAGCCTGCAGTTTTATGTAGGAATATTGTAAATAAAGCATACTTTTTTGTTTGTGCATGTAATAATTAAGTTGTTGGATGCGTGCCGCTTCCGTGTCTGTTCTTAGTTATGCTCTGTACAGTTCTATAAGTTCCCATGAAGTTTCAGGAAATGCAGGAGTGGCCTGATTTTAGCCACATTTCCTGAAGTTTATCCATACCAATCGTATTTTGAAATCAGGGCCAATTATACATATTCTACAGGGTCAGATGAGGACAGCAACATTGTTTGGCATCTTGAGAATTTAATTGGGGGGGTGGCGGGGGA